TCATAATACCCATAAATGTTTAATATGCATTCATATTGCCTTCACAACATATCATAAATGATAAATAGGTGACAATGGATGCCTTGGTGCAATATTTATTAAGTGCCATGTTTATTGTTGTAACCCGCTCAGGATCCATTAGTAAAAGTGAGCGGGGGATCTCAAGGTCAGTGTAAGCAATCTGTAAAGAAAGGCGTGCCCCTGAAATTAAGTACTGTGAATGATGACAACTGTGTGACAAATGGCAATTGCTTAATAGACTGCAGTCAGCTGGATTGGCCCCCTGAGGTGCTCCATCTTTTGTTGAATGAACATATATGAAAAGACCTCTCCCAGATGCATAGAATTTGTGGGTCAGTAAAAGAAAAGGGGAAACTGCATTCTCCTTCCACCCCGCCGCACTCTAGCATGCAAAATGCACCTCAAAAATATAGCTTAGGAATATAAATAACTTCTGCTGCTAAAGTGGATGCTGTCTTAGGGACCTTTTCAACAGTGACAGATTCTATTTCAAGGTTTTTTTTCTCTCTCCCCGCCCCCCTCTTTTCAGTGCATGTAGCACACTTCACAGTTCTCCGTAGCATATTACGGAGAGTGGTGGCTATGAACAGCATAAGTGTGAGAAGAGGCAATGTGGATGGCAATGAGATACAGGGCACTTTAACCTATGATTGCCCCTTGCCTGTACAAGTGGAACCTCAGAAGCCAAATGTCTTTGAACTTGATCGTTTCGGCTCCCAAACAACGAAAATCGGAAGAGATTGTTCCGGTTTTTGAATGATATTCTGAAGCCGAACCTTTTTGGTTTTCAAACTGTTCTGGGAGTTGAACGGACTCCCGGAATGGATTAAATCTGAAAACCAAGGTACGACTGTACATATTTTTCTCTACTCTCCCTGTTGCAGTTCATCTCTCAAAGTTCATCACCTAAATTCCTGGCCGATTCAGACGTATTTTATACAACAAATGGTTTTGTTGTAAGCAGTTGAGGCTGCAGTCCCATGCAAACTCAGCTGGAAGCATGTCCCATTGGAATCAGTGGGATTGCTCCTGAGTAGACATGCACTGGGTTGCACTGTAAACAGGTCTGCTGAGCTTGTATGTTAATAATTTAATACACAAAGGCCATTGCTCTTTGTTCGAAGGAAAGAATGTACCGGGTATTTGTTTAAAGTACTTTCCCCTGCCTCTCCATTTATACAGGCCCTCTAGGGCCTATGAATCAGTCAATCAGGCAAAGGGTCACAACAAAAGAAACAGCAGTCAATAAAATACTTTCATGACAAATAAAATTCAGCATCGTTTAATGTGAGAATTAGCAAAATCAAGCAAAACCACACAAGGGGATTAAAAACAGCAACAAATAATTAATTTCCAGCTAGGACAAAAGTTGGTTGAAATAGTAAGGTCCTGATTGGTCTCTTGAGGCAAATAAGAAATGAATGAAATGGGTACTCAAAGACATAGAATTCTGCAAAATGGGAGCCACCAACAAGAAGTCCCTGTACCAAGCTCCCTTATTTATTTCTATATAAAAGTATTTATATCCTGTCCTCTCACAGAATGTCAGTGCAGTGTACAGTAACATAAAAAACATTTTATGCCTCATAAAACTCAGGTGGCCCTTAAGGTATCATGGACCCAAGTTGGTCATACACACACACACACACACACACACACAGTATATCAACTCTTGTATTTCATTCAGCAGAGTGACACAGAACAGGTACCCCACTGAAGATCCAGGAACATGGATGAGTTCATAAGTGGGAAGCTGGTCTTTTAATATAAAGTTCTCAACCATTCATGGGTGCTTCGTTGAAGCCAAGCTGAGCCAAAATGTTCTCACAGTAGAGAATATTGATTTTCCTGTCCACTCTGAAATTCTTCAAAACTTTTGGAGAACAGCTCCTCATTAGCAGCGGTGGCAGATGAGCTTCAAACTTTCTACACACTTTTTTATTTTATTTTTGGCCAGCATAAGCTTTGTTTTGGTGGCCCAACTAGCTTTTGGATTCAGCCACCATGTCCTAAGAGGCATTGTACAGGGGAATGGCAGCTGCCTCTGGTACATTTTATGTGTGGCCATCATTTCCCCCAATGTAATGCATTAGGGTGCTGTTTCGTTCAGGACATTGTCAAGGCAATGAATAGTGGAGGGGATTCTGCAGAGAACATCAGCAATGTAGATTGTTTTAAAGATCAGAATAATCATATCATTTCTTAAGTCAGCGATGGAGAACCTCAGGCCTCTCTCTGTGGCCCTTGAGATTCTCCCTAAGCCACGCCCCCTTCATTAGGCCACACTTTTCACTGGTCCTGCTTTTCACCCCAATGGTTTTTGCTTGGCTGAAATGTGTCCTTGCTTCCCTGGCTGGAGGAGAGGGAGGGGTGTGTATAGAAAAAAGCCTATTGCCTCTGGTCCCATTCACCACCTGCGCATGACCAGCAGAATGTTGCCCAGTAGGGAATGTGACCTTTGGGTGGGAAAGGTTCCCAGCCTCTGGACACTTTAAAACTGTTGCATGACTTTTTTTTTAATGCCTCTCTAAAATTAAAAGAGAAATTGATACACCCCTCTATCTGAGGTGGGCCACCTAGCATCCTCACTTTGGATATCTCCTGCTACCTCTTGTGATGCCCATATCCTCTCTGTCGACCATGAATGTTTGCAGGTAATCACTTGCAGTAATTCAATTGCGCTGTTCAGAGAACGGTCTTGCAATTATCAACAACAACACACCTCCAGTAATTTTGGAGAAGGAGTTAACTTCAATCCTGATATCTTGCAGATAATGACCCTGGCAATTTGCATGAATTTTACACACTTGGGCGGAATCCAAGCCCTATTTTTTACTTGATTAGAGCAGAACGTGTGAGGTCTTTTGATCTGCGCGATTTGGAGGATTTTCTGCAACAATTGATTAAATGGTTTATTAAACTCCTGTAATGTAGCAAAAGGTTCTTGTTAATTTCAAGGCGCCCTGCTGAACTTCTCAGCCACAACTTGGCTGTGGTGCTGTTAGTGGCATAGACCATTGGGACGCTGGTGGCACTGTGGTCTAAACCACTGAGCCTCTTGAGCTTGACAGTAAGAAGGTCTGCAGTTCGAATCCCCGCAACAGATTGAGCTCCCATTGCTCTTTCCCAGCTCCTGCCAACCTAGCAGGTCAAAAGCATGCCAGTGCAAGTAGATAAATAGGTACCACTGCAGCAGGAAGGTAAATGGCATTTCTGTTCGCTCTGGTTTCCGTCATGATGTTTCATTGTGCCAGAAGTGGTTTAGTCATGCTGGCCACATGACCCGGAAAGCTGTCTGTGAACAAACACTGGCTCCCTTGGCCTGAAAGCGAGATGAGTGCCACAACCCCATAGTCAGCTTTAACTGGACTTAACCATCCAGAGGTCCTTTACCTTTTTACCTAGACCATTGGCCATTGCATCAGACTTCTTAGAGGGGTTGGTTAGACATGCATCTTAGGGTGGCAGCTGCATTGCAATTAGGGAGCTTTATCTTCACTATACATGCCCATTGCTGAGCTCGACTGAAAATCTTGAGGGCAGAGTACTAATCTGTACAGAGGAGGAGTGGACATCAGATTTGGATGAATCCTGACCAAGGCAGAATAGTGTTACTTTTACTTCCCTTGATCTTGACACTATACGGGTGAAACTCAGAAAATGAAGCACAGTGGACCAACACCAGCTGAAGACATGGCTCTCCAAATCTCTTTTCTGATGAGAGCAGCTTCTGCATCTCATTTGGAAACCAAGGACCCAGAGTCTGGAGGAAGAATGGGGAGGCACACGATGCCAGATGCTTGAAGTCCAGTGTGAAGTTTCCACAGTCTGTGTTGATTTGGGAAGCCATGTCATCAGCTGGTGTTGGTCCACTGTGCTTCATTAAGTCCAGGGTCAACGCAGCCATCTACCAGGAGATCTTGGAGCACTTCATGCTTCCTTCTGCAGACAAGCTTTATGGGGATGCTGATTTCATTTTCCAGTAGGACTTTGGCACCTGCCCACACTGCCAAAAGTACCAAAACCTGGTTCAATGCCCATGGGATTACTGTGCCAGCAAACTCGCCTGACCTGAACCCCATAGAGAATCTATGGGGCATTGCCAAGAGAAAGATGAGAGACATGAGACCGAGCAATGCAGAAGAACTGAAGGTTGCTATTGAAGCTTCCTGGTCTTCCATAACACCTCAGCAGTGCCACAGGCTGATAGCATCCATGCCACGCCACATTGAGTCAGTAATTGATGCAAAAGGGGCCCAAACCAAGTACTGAGTACATATGCATGCTTCTACTTCTCAGAGGTCCAATATTGCTCTATTTGCAGTCCTTGTTTTGCTGATTTCATTTAATATTCTAATTTTCTGAGATTGTTAATTTGGGGTTTTCATCAGCTGTACGCCATGATCATCACAATTATAACAAATAAAGGCTTGACATATCTTGCTTTGTATGTCATGAGTCTATCTCATATATTAGTTTCACCTTTTAAGTTGAATTACTGAAATAAACGAACTTTTCCATGATATTCTAATTTCCCGAGTTTCACCTGTACTTCTATTGATGCAGCCTAGAATAGCATTAGCCTTTTCTTGTTGCTGCATCACACTGTTGACTCATGTTAAGCCTTCTAGGTCGGTGATTATCACTGCCTCCTGTGGGAATGAGTTTCATAATGTAACTGTGTGCTGTGTGGAGAACAAGTTTCTTTTTTTCTATCCTAAATCTTCCAACAGTCAGATTCATTGGATGTCCATGAATTCTAGAGATGTGCATATTTTCATAAATTTATATCTTGTCACCTCTTACATTTTCTCTGAAGGAAAAAGTCCTAAATGCTGCAACCTTTCCTCATAGGGGGGTTTAATATTCATAAATTGCTCTAAGAGCCTTTCTGTACAGAAATAATACATTAATGAATCGTGACAGTTCTGTGAGCCCCCAAAATGCAGGTCTTGATGGACCACCATTAGCAAAATTCACCAGAATATCTCCTGCTCACCTTTTCAAGGCAACATTATCAGACTCGCCAATTATTTCAGAAGCCCAACCATCTATTGTTTGTAGGACTTGCCAGATTGTGAAAGCAGTCGAGAGAATTCCTCAGCAGAAGCACCTGACATCTGAAACCAGGGGGTTGATCTCCTCTCAGCGTTAGTTTTTGTTCATTTCTGATCATGGCAATGCTTTTCTTTCTGTCTCGGCTTAATGAAAGCAGTCATGGTTCAGATCCTCCGCTGATGTAAATTTGCACAGCTCCTTTGCCTTTAATGGAGCTCAGCTGACAGGCTTCAGTGGGAGAATCTTGCTCAGTGATGTTAATAGGGAGGGGAAAAAAATCTTTCTTTTTTTTCTCTGTCAGACATAGCAATACATCGCAGGAGGCTTTTCTATTCACCTGCCAACCAGTGATGAATGGGTGAGCTTTTTGAAGACTTTTAAGTAAGAGTTGGGTGGTTGGACTTTTTCCCCCTTTCCTCTTTTTGGTGGTCTTTTTTTGGTTTGATACTTTTTCAGCCTCCATTCAATTCCCAGATCATCCAGATTCTTGCATGTTATTATTCCTTTGCATAGGAAACTTGGTGGTTCTGTGTCTATCAGAACAACAGTGAAACCAGGTCAGATACAGAGCATAGGGGTTTCTGTACTGGGCACACAGGAAAGTACTACTGTAGAAATAATAATAAAAAAGAACAGGGGATGGGGGGAAATCCCACTACGGTGACCTGATGAAAAATGAGCATGCCTAGAGCCCTTCAGGAGGCATGAAACATCAACGGCACTTTAGTGCCAGATAGAGGGGAAATAGCTGGGCAATGTGGCTTATTTGAACTTCTGACACCTTAAGGGATAAAGTGGATGGTGGCCCAGGAAAACTTAAGCCAACATTTATTCGATGGAAATAGGGACTTCCCATTCAATTCAAAGCGTTGTTGCTGACCTTTAAAGCCCTAAACAGCCTCGGTCCAGTATACCTGAAGGAGCGTCTCCACCCCCATCGTTCTGCCCAGACACTGAGGTCCAGCGCCAAGGGCCTTCTGGCGGTTCCCTCACTGCGAGAAGCAAAGCTACAGGGAACCAGGTAGAGGGCCTTCTCAGTAGTGGCACCTGGCCTGTGGAACGCCCTCCCATCAGATGTCAAAGAGAAAATGCCAGCCATTTCTCATCTGGTTGGCGTCCCCATATACTAAAAGTGGAAAAAAGACTGGCTTCTGGGAACCTACGTAGCATGATATCAATTGATGAGTATGAGCATTGTCAAACTTTGAAAAGAACCCGGCTCCTATTACTGTCACTGCTGCTGCTGGCTAAAATGTTACATTTATATATAATATGTTCCAGAAGGAACACAGCAACGACCTTACAGTACTCTACGTGTATAGATTTGACATGCAACGCGATTTCTTTAGGAGAACACCAAACTGAAGTAAATTGTATTTCTCTTCCCATAGAGTCCCAAATCCCATTCTATGTTAAGTACATACAAAGTCTGAAGGCTGTAGCATGTCTGTTATTTGGTTTCTCAAACATGAAGCTAAAAAATAAATAAAAAATGGTGGTTGCTATTATACAGACCAGCCCTTAAATTCTCGGGACAAAAAAATCCTATCAATATTTGACCTTCCACTTCATTGCTATGACCTACACCAAGCATAATTTTCCAGCTGATCTCCCTAAATAAAGAGGTCAATGAAAGCCAGCCTGTCAATTATATGAAAGAGCTGATTTATGGGACTAGTAAACCCTTGTGAAGCAAGGCATCCTTTCTCCTTATCCATCTCCCCACCCCTGTTCTATTTTGCTTCAGGGTTAGGTGAGTGCAACCATTATATTTGTCTCCTGTTCCAAAAAAACCTGCATGTCTAAAGATGGTGCTTTTCTGATTTGAAAAAAAAAACACCACCTATATTTGATGTATCTGAGTTCTTGCTAGAAAAAAGATTGTTGTTAAAGTTCAAGTAGGGTTAGGGTTTTCAAGTTCATTAAAGAAATAAAAGCAGGTTACATACAAGGTCTGTATTTTTGTCCAATACTATGTCATGTTTTATGACTCACCTTATCTCTGAAAGCTTTAGTAGTGCCAAATAGATTTGAGTAATTGATGTGTATGTCTGTGAGTGAGTGAGTGAGAGAAGTGGTAGTCTTTGGTTATATTTCATAGGTAACATCGTTATAGTGAGGATTTTTTTTATTATTACTTAAAAAAACCCTCTATGCCTATGAAGATTTCAAGCTTATTTATTAGTAGAAATCAAAACAATTATGAGATCAAGGCCTTTTGCATAATGGTCAAGAACTGCTTTTGGTTTTGAATTCTTATATGCAGTTTTCAGGGTTGGAACTGCTACAGCAGGTAGATGTTACGCCTACCTTATCAATTTATTCATTTATTGGATTTGTGGTCTGCTCTTCATTAAAAATGACCCTGAGGTTGGTTAAAGTATAAAAACAAACATGCAGGGTGGGAACTCAGGTAAATAATGGCACTCACATGTCAGGCTCGAGGGATTCTCTTCTCCCCTGGTAGCATCAAGGATCAAGGAAGAAAGAAGAAAGTTTGTATTTATGGTTTTATTCAGTCATCATGGTGCAAGGCAAAGAATTCCAGTTCTTAACTCCATTGTGATGTTGCTCACTCTGAGCTCCTCCACACCAGTGTGGTGTAGCGGTTAAGAGCGGTGAACTCATAATCTGGCGAACCGGGTTCGATTCCCCGCTCCTCCACATGCAGCTGCTGGGTGACCTTGGGCTAGTCACACTTCTCTGAAGTCTCTCAGCCTCACTCACCTCACAGAGTGTTTGTAGTGGGGGAGGAAGGGAAAGGAGATTGTCAGCCGCTTTGAGACTCCTTAGGGTAGTTACCGTATTTTTCGCTCCATAGGACGCACTTTTTCCCCTCCAAAAATGAAGGGGAAATGTGTGTGCGTCCTATGGAGCGAATGCAGGCTTTCGCTGAAGCCTGGAGAGCGAGAGGCATCGGTGCGCACCGACCCTCTCGCTCTCCAGGCTTCAGGAAGCTATCCGCAAGCCTTGCAAGCCCGGTGGGAGTTCCCGCGGGCTCACAAGGCTTGCAGGCAGCAGCCTGCAGCCCCGGCGAGTGTCCGCAGCCTTGCGCGCCCGGCAGGAGGTCCCGCCGAGCGCGCGAGGCTTGGGGCAGCAGCCTGTCGCCCGAAGCACGGGAGCCCTCCGGAGGGCTCCCGTGCTTCGGGCGAGTGTCCGCAAGCCTTGCGCGCCCGGCAGGAGGTCCCGCCGAGCGCGCGAGGCTTGGGGCAGCAGCCTGTCGCCCGAAGCACGGGAGCCCTCCGGAGGGCTCCCGTGCTTCGGGCGCAGTGTCCGCAAGCCTTGCGCGCCCGGCAGGAGGTCCCGCCCGGCGCGCAAGGCTTGGGGCTGCAGCATGTCGCCCGAAGCACGGGGAGCCCTCCGGAGGGCTCCCCGTGCTTCGGGCGAGTGTCCGCAGCCTTGCGCGCCCGGCAGGAGGTCCCGCCCGGCGCGCAAGGCTTGGGGCTGCAGCTTGTCGCCCGAGCACCGGGAGCCCTCCGGAGGGCTCCCGTGCTTCGGGCGAGTGTCCGCAAGCCTTGCGCGCCGGGCAGGAGGTCCCGCCCGGCGCGCAAGGCTTGGGGCTGCAGCTGTCGCCCGAAGCACGGGGAGCCCTCCGGAGGGCTCCCGTGCTTGGCGAGTGTCTGCAAGCCTTGCGCGCCCGGCAGGAGGTCCCGCCGAGCGCGCAAGGCTTGGGGCTGCAGCTTGTCGCCCGAAGCACGCGAGGCTTGGGGCGGCAGCCGCGGGGGGGGGGATAATTTTTTTTATTCATTTCCCCCCCCAAAAAACGAGGTGCGTCCTATGGACCGGTGCGTCCTATAGAACGAAAAATACGGTATAAAGCGGGATATCATATCCAAATTTTTCTTCTTCTTCCTTCCCCAGCAACAGCCTGTGGCTCTACAGGGGGCCTCAGGAGTCAAATGACATTGAGCCCTTTGCTCTTGAATTGTAAGTAGCGGTGAGTACATGGGGATGGTGGAGATTCTGTGTTTCCAAGGACGTCTCTGCCGGCAGTTCTCCAACTCCCCCTCCTTCTCCTAACACCTCATAACTTGGCAGCTCTAAGTTCTGCTGTAACTCAATCCTGTCTCCCTCTTCTCTTGAAACTACTGGAGAAGGCGGGTCGATCCCCCCACTCCCCCTCCTCCTCTGAGGGAAGCAGAGGAGAAGGAGGGGGTGATCCCCAGCCCTCCTCTTCAGTCCAGTCCCTGACATCACACCAGGATTATCAGTAGCACAACAGCAAACCCCCTTTTCCTTCTCCAGTGCAATCCCTGTGTAATTCCCAAATCTGCTCTGGAGAGTTGTGGGAAAACCCTGATCAGACTTAGTGGGAGGAACGAGGTAGAACGTCTAATTGTGCAAGGACAAATCCTTACACTGATGGAATGTTCCCCTTAGATCCATGTTTAATGCATTCCAAAATATACAATAAAACCAGCATCACATGGAATCATTCTGAAGTCCAACGTTCCAGGAAGTCAGGAAGGGCAAGCTCTCAAATTCAGAGGAGAATGTTTGGGATTATGTTATCCAGTGATACAGTCACGAATCACGTGATTTCCACAGTCTTCTGTGCAAAATTCAAGGTGCTCGTTTTGACATATGAAGTCGTAAAATGCCCGGGCTGCATAATGACTGCCGCTTTCCCCATAGGTGAACATTTCATGAGTATGGAACTGTGCGAATAGAAACCTATTCTGAAAATGTAGGCTCAAAGCACATCTAGCTATGAGTTATTAATGAAAATGCCCTCTGTTAATTAAACATGAACAGTGGGATCAAGCACAGAGAAGAGATGTTCTTGGTGGCTGCTTATCAGCTTCGTGGTTACCCTTCTTTCAAAGTAATGCAAGTCATTACTATTCAGGAGGCATTTTGAAGCTAAGAATAAGTGTGTGCATGTGGCGTTCATCACTCCTCTGAGTGTCAGGAAGTTCCAGGAAGCATTGGGGGTGATGGAGAAGTTTGATTCTGTTCACATTTCAATATGAACTTGACTATTTGGCACTTTCTGAAAAAACCTGCAAACTGAATCACAGCCATTCTTTGAAATTTGCACTTCTCTGAATTTTGCAATGCAAAATTTTGTACAAAAACGCACATACTGCGCTTAGAATGTGCATAAAAGCACGCATGGATGGCATACCAAAATGCATTATACTAGGCAAGATTGCTTTGCAAAAATGTGCACTTTAGGCAAAATATACACAACAATGTATATATTTGGAGAAACTCTCACCCAAATGCCAATAAACTCAGGAGGACTTTAAAAAACTGATATGAAAAAATAAGACACACAGAGAAACAAGCCAACAGATTTGCACATCCCTAGGAAGTAACCCTTATTTATGGAGCCAGTTTCCTTCTGGGGAGAGAGTGTTGCTCTGAGCCAGGATACACAGAACTGTTGAACTAATGCCAGTAACTCAAAGGAGTGTTGAGGCTGTGTTTCTTGAGCAGTTCCCCTCCCTCCCACTGCATCCTGCTGCTGCATGGCAAACTCCATTTCAAATTCCTTTGGAAACTCTCCTCAATGTGTCAAGTGCATATTTGGTCTGCTACTCAAAAGAGGAGAAAAGAGCAACTGCCCAGTGGGCTCATGCAAACCCAGAGGCGGTGCCTAAACTAATAATAAAAATTTAATAATAATAAATTTTATTTATATCCTGCCCTCCCCAGCCGAAGCCGGGCTCAGGGCGGCTAACAACAATCAAATAATCAAACAATCAAATAATCAAACATTCTAAAAACATTTCATTATAAAAATTAATTAAAATCAAATTAATGGCAACCGTTGAGCAAAATTCTGTGCAGGTTGCCAGAGGAGGGAGTCAGGCTGGGCCCTGACCAAAGGCCTGGTGGAACAACTCTGTCTTGCAGGCCTTGCAGAAAGGTGTCAGGTCCCGCAGGGCCCTAGTCTCTTGTGACAGAGCATTCCACCAGATTGGAGCCGCAGCCGAGAAAGCCCTGGCTCTAGTTGAGGCCAGCCTAACCTCTCTGAGGCCTGGGACCTTCAGGATGTTTTTATTTGCAGACCGTAGGTTCCTCTGTGGGGCATACCAGGAGAGGCGGTCCTGTAGGTACCAGGGTCCTAGGCCGTATAGGGCTTTAAAGGTTAAAAACAGCACCTTAAACCTGATCCTGTACTCCACCGGGAGCCAGTGCAGCTGGTATAGTACCGGATGAATGTGATCTCGCAGCAAAGACCCCATAAGGAGTCTCGCTGTGGCATTCTGCACCCGCTGGAGTTTCTGGGTCAGTCTCAAGGGCAGCCCCACGTAGAGCGAGTTACAATAATCCAGTCTGGAGGTGACCGTCGCGTGGATCACAGTGGCTAGGTCAGGGCGAGAGAGATAAGGGGCCAACTGCTTAGCTTGGCGGAGATGAAAAAATGCCGCCTTTGTTATAGCAGTAATCTGCGCCTCCATAGAGAGGGAGGTATCGAAGATTACACCCAAACTCTTAACGGACGGTGCTGGAACTAATTGCACCCCCGCAAGAGATGGGAGTTGCCCCCCCAATCCCATATCATCCCATCCCAGCCAGAGGACCTCTGTCTTCGAAGGATTTAACTTCAACCGGCTTCCACGTAACCATCCAGCCACAGCTTCCAAACATCTGGTCAGTGTGTCTGGGGCCGAGTCAGGATGGCCATCCATCAACAGATAGAGTTGGGTGTCATCAGCATACTGATGGCAACCCAGCCCAAAACTCCAGACAAGCTGGGCGAGGGGGCGCATAAAGATGTTAAAAAGCATCGGGGAGAGTATCGCACCCTGAGGCACTCCACACACCAAGGAGTGGCGCGATGACAATTCCCCCCCCAAGCGCCACCCTCTCTCCCCGACCAGAGAGAAACGAGCGCAGCCTAGCTCTTTGAATGCCAGGCGTAGCTCTTGTAGCAAAATCAGCTGACTTCCAAGAAGTGCAAGCTCTTCAGGGAGGAACAAATGATACATGCAGAAAGGGAGTTCTAGTCTTTAAAGCTGCATTGATTCTCATGTGCAGCAGCGTCATCTTATTGTTCTCCAAGTTTACTGTTTGGTAATCTTAGATCAGGGGTGGGCAATCTGCGGCCTGTCAGGAGCTCGTCCTACATTCGAGTAGGACCCTGGCAGAGACACATGCCCGACTGGCATGTTCTCTCCCTCCTGGTCGATCGTTTGGGAGCTTCAAAATCTTTCTTCTGCCCGAACATCACAGCGACCGATGCCAACAGACATCGGCACGCTTAGGGATCCGCAGAGTGTTCGCAGTTTGCGTGACAGACCTCAGCAACAGATAAATATGTAAATAAATATTCTGAATAGACACTAAGTCTAGAAAATAGACTAAGGGGGAATCCTATGGCAAGATTTGCCAGGATAACCATCTTAAGATGCAGCAGATCTCCTGCTCAGCTGACTGATTCCTGGTTCAGCTAGGATCAACTTTCATTAAGTCCCTAACCATGCCTCACCTGAAGATATGCCAGTGTAACTTGCTCATTTGGGCTCAGCCAGCTGAGCTCAGACCAGTGAAATTCCCCCAGAGGAG